GCTGGTGGATCAGATTCAGGCATCTATAAATAAAATAAAGTAACTAAATAAATAATTTGTTCCAAATATATGGAGAGTACATGAACAATTATTAAAAGATGCTGCCAAAATGTTAAATAAAATATATTTTCTGCACAATTACAAATTGCAAGTAATGTTCACAAAATATTAGTATGATCTGTTAGTATGTTTACACTCTCAGAAAGTAGAAATAGAATGAAGACCAGTGTAAATGGAAGATGTTCCAAGCTCAACGATTTAAAAAATTAATGATTACTAAAATGTCTTATTTGTTGTTGGAATGTCCTCTCAAGACAGAATATGATACCACAGTAGTAACAGGAAACTTATGTCACTCCAGTGAAGTTCTTAAATCTAACCAGAACTGTCTGCCAGAAATGCCACGGCTGCTTGTAATAAATAGCCACACAGTGAAATCTATTAACAATCACATTCATGGATAAGTGGAAAGCCTGTTATTTCCTCTAAACAACAGTATATCAAACATGATGCCCCATACTGAAAGAAATGCTGTGACTAACACTCAGCCAATCTCTATGGCTGTGGCAGTATTAATGCAACTATGCTGAATGAATATATCAAATTGTTAATATTCAGAATTAACTTGACTTGTCATATATCATGTACAATGATCTACAGTGACGAAATAAATCAATCAATCAATCGAATCATGTGCAAAGTGAAAGCTAAAACAGCATTTCTTGTTATACATCAATTGTCATGTGTCAGTCAAGCGGATGAAGCGCCCTGTCAATTCCTATAGTGTTCATGACGAATGAAGAAAAATACATATAATACACAGTTACAAGCATTAAGTAAAGTTTATTAAATACATGTGATATAAAACATAAGGAATTTCATTATTTCAAAAGAATTTATTTTCATAAGACCCAGATTAATGAGTACTTTTGCATAAATCACACTCGTAGAAACATACTGTATCACCCTGTGATTTATACTATCTAAACTTAAGTCACACCATTATCATCATCATCATGAACATTACAATCAGCATTTCATGTCCTAACGGTCTGTTACAGTCTCAGGCGAGCATTTGTAGGTCCCCCGAAGACCTTTTTGATTCAGACTGGGATTCCTGAGCAGACAACCAGAATAACACATGTCCTTCCAGTTACATTTGTAATTTTATGTAAATTCCATGACCAGTTGTGTACTCAATTCCTTCATTACTTATAAATTCATTTCATAGCCCAAAAAGGGTACCATGCTTTTCTCATGAATCTCATTTCTGCTGGCGTCACCATAAAAGCAGATAAAATTGCTGATTAGGACAGGCCTCTAAGCATGTCCATACAAATATCACAATCTACCTGTCTGTAATGAATTTCCCACAGAAACTGACAAAGGTTGAGGTATCTGCAGCTGTATATTTTAAACAATGCTCATACCTAGTGTATTTTTATGCATAACTTTCAGATGAAATACATGATACAATCATTTTGTTCAAGAATATTGTGGCAACCAAACACATTGTGCATATTTAACACTTGCAGAGTACACTGTTACATTATAGGAAACATATAGTTATTAACTACCTAAATGGTAAAGTTCTCCCTGTGCTTATCTAATTAAGCACTACACCATGAAGACATATAGGAGAGTGGATGTATAGATCCACATTTTCCTGACCTCAGCACTAGCTGGAGGTGAGTGGTCAGCTTCATGCCACCAAATTCACCAATATTATCTCAAAGGCCGCGCCACAGCTTAAGCCGTTAGTCGCTGGCTTCCCACCGCTGCAGTCTAGTCAAGTGGGATTTGTGATGGACAAAGTGGCGCTGGGGCAGGTTTTCCCCGAGTACTTCGGTTTCCCCTGCCAATCCTCATTCCATCAAATTCTCCATAAACATCACCAGTATAGGTACAATAGGACATATGAAGCTGACGTGCCGAGGAGACCTAATATGGATTCCACCTCACACTATGTGAAATCTTAACTATTGTAATCCACTGTAATCTACTGTAAACAATTTTAAGTATTGAAACTTTATTCTCTTATTGTAATCAACCAATGTACAGTAACTGACTTGACCTATATCATGTAACAATGATCTATAGAGACGAAATAAATAAATACATACATACATAGTTTACCCCCAGAGAACAAGACTCCAGTACCCATTAGGATAGGAGGCTGGGTGGGCCCCAAAGCCGGTCTAGATGATATGGAGAACAGAAAATTCTGACCACACCAGGAATCGAACTCTGACCACTCAGTCATCCAGCCTGTAGGCAGTCACTATACCAAATGCGCTACCCAAGCTCTCCCAAACTACCCAACATCTATTAAAAAAGACTGACCCCTCAAACTAATAACTTTTGTCCATGGTATCAGAGTACAGGACTATGTGAAGGCAGTGACCTACTGAATAAATTCATCCATTCATTTTTAACATAAAAGTGACTGTTCCCCCAACCTTCACCAACTGCTTTAAAATTTTGGTATTTTCTATAATAATGACAGGGTTTGGAGCAGAAGAATGGGCGGCTAGATGCATCATAAATGGACAATTTTAAAGTCTGGCATAGAGAGCAGTCACAGAAAAAAACTGGCTGGGAGGATCTGTGGTAATTATAAGCAGCCATTTCCTTACACAATCGCAAATATCTTAAGTTAGTATTCATCTTTCTTTATTACTACCTCAACTTCTAAATCATAACTCATCCTAATAGATTTTGCTATACTCAAGGTTAATTATTTATTTCGTCTCTATAGATCATTGTTACATGATATAGGACAAGTCAGTTACTGTACATTGGCTGATTAAACAAACGCACACACACAAAATTATATAAGATTTACAAAACACAACAGCTGCCTCCATAAATATACCTTCCTCATAAAATAATTCTTTTTTTTTTTTCTAAAATTAGCTGTTAATTATACAATTCTACCTCGGGAAGGGGTGCCAAAGTATCTGAACATACTAACGAATATTTTATTTTCAACCAGTACGGTTTTAGACTATTTTTCTTGCACGGTTCTCGTTTTGCCTTTTCACAATACTTCATCACGCAGACTCTCCGAAATATTTGTCGATCCACCCATAATATACCTTCAAAATTTTCGTCACATCCTATCCCCTTAACCTAGTATTTTTCGTCCCCGATAGCCGATACGTAATAAGAGTTTGCTTTCCCACGATTTTAGTACTTATAGATTCAAAATTATTACTTATCGCCAAATATACAAATATTTTTTTTACCTTGCAGCTCTTTCCGTACTACTTAACTACACGTAAAATTTCCGTTCGAGCAACACCTACTCCATCTATCGTCTGAAATTAACTCCTCATGCACAACCACTGATGCAAACCTAACTCTGGATAGACAACATGCAATAGTTGAATATCTTATGTAAATAAAACTTCCTTTATAAATGCACAACTGATATCTGAAATACTGTTTCTATATTCAGATTCCGGAATGTAACGATCGTCGTGATTGCATTTCAGTTGGTCATGATCGGTCATGATGTTTCCTGTGCAGACGATGAAAATTCCCTCCAATTCAGAGAATATCCCCCATTGTACCCAATTCACGATTTCTGTTCATTAGAACGGATCTCTAACTGTAGATGGGCAACGGGACGACGTACATGGATTACTAAAAGTTATACTCAGTGACAGATTAAACCCTCATTCAGGAGGAAATTAAGAGGAGATTAAACCCTGGTAATGCTTGCTACCATTCCGTCCACAACATTTTGTCTTCTCGTCTGCTGTCCAAAAAAAAAATAAAAATTTGAATATACAAAACTATGATTTTGCCTGTGGTTCTGTATGCGAGTGAAACTTGGTCTCTGACAGTAAGGAAGAACGTAGACTGAAGGAGTTTCAGAACACATGAAGTCTTCTAGGCACAGTCTAATCACCTTTGACTGCCATCTCTAGAAAGTACTCGTACCAGTTCTCTTCCGACTAGTGTTCTGTACTCCATACAACTGCCACTCCGCTGTTATGGCTATTATTCTGCTTCTCAGGGTCGAGTTACTTTACGACTAGCAGCTTACCGTCAATCAGTTCCCACGACCCGCTCAGCTGAACCCTTACGGTGATAGTCCTTATGTACATCCTCTTTGACGAGAAGATGCGTTTGTCTCTTATGAATATGCTCGGCCCTTCGTCAAATGTATATTTCGTATATATATATAGCATATTATTGAAAAATTATTTCTTTTGCACTACATACAAGTCGTCTGTCAGTACAGGCTTTGCAGAGCATGTCATGTCTAGCTTACATATATTATGCTACGACGACAGCTTTAGTCACTTGAACGCTTGCAAGCTTGACCACTGCAAAGTTTGAGCCTCTTATATATTTTATGTATGGTTTCACCTTGTCGTATATCACGAACATATCAGTTCTTATGATTTTGTGTGAACTGGTTTTCTAGGCAGTCCGCAATCACATTGACTTTCTCGTTCAGATGATATGTTATTCATAAAGGTCCATGTACAGCAGTTGGTACTTTTGGTCCATCCCTTTTCATAAGCAATTTCTTAACAGGTCACAACGCTTGAGGTGTGACCTCACAGTTCCCTACTTTGGTTCGTCACATTCTAGTGCCATCATACAGGTCATTCGTCTGACGATTTTCGCGGATCAATTAAGTGTCACTTTACATGCTGAATCCCAGGTTACTTGCCATAGTTTCCTGAACTTCCGCGTATGTTTTAACAGACTCTCCAGACCAGGTATTTCCTCATTTAAGTCCGAGAGTTTAAGTTGGCCTGTCAATAAGCCGACGCGACAGAGGTAGTGAAGTAGCGGGCCACTTTATCGGCATCTTCCCCGTTAACTAGCAGTAGACGTCCAATCGTTCCGCGTATTTGCTTCTGCTGGAGTTTGTTTACTACCCCGTTGCCTAGTAATGGGTATAAACGTTACAATAATATACCCATGAACCTTTGCGCCAGGAGCTGACGTCATGTACTAAACATCGTCACCATCGTCACAGAAGTAGTGTATCCGTGGAATAAGGAAGGTGCAGTTGATATGCGGACTTTATCCGATTAAGTTGAACAGTAAATTTATTAGTTAAAATTTAAGCGTCCTCCCGGTAGTGTCGGAGGGAGATTCTTTTCAGTTGTTCCAGAATTATGGATTCAGAAGAGGAGACACTTTACGACGATGTTGACTCTGGGAACGAATCAAGCGGGGATGATGTTGACTTTGCAATGGAAGTTGAGACTAGTAACCCAAGAGAAAGACAAACCGAAGTAGAGGAATATCCATTTGAAGTTTTGTCAACGGAAGAAATTGTACAGCATATGGTAGATTCTATCAAAGAAGTAAATACTGTAGTGGAGGTAAGATAACATTCAGTTTGTTATAAACCTACATGTAAATCTTGTACAGCTTTGAAGGGTTAGAAGGTAATTTGTCAAGGCCAGTTAAGTGAAGTTCTGAAGTAGATGTGACGTTAATTCTTGTGTACGGAAAGTAATTGTACCACCAATTTGACATACAGATTCCAGCGACCACGACACGAATTCTGTTGAACCATTTTAAATGGGACAAAGAAAAGTTAATGGAAAGGTTTTATGATGGAGATCAGGATCAGCTGTTCTCAGAAGCGCGTGTTATAAATCCTTTCCGGAAGCCAGCTGTAGTTAATAGACCAAAAGTTAAGGTATGTACAGTCGTCTTGTTTAATTTTACAAGAAATCAAGTTTCAGAGCTTATGCAGGCTATAATAAATTTTAAATGTTTCATTAATGATTATAAAATGTGTTTTATTATAGCCACCAAGAAGAACATCAGCAGCTGACACTGAAGAATGTGAAATCTGTTTCATGGTTCTCCCCTCATCTGTAAGTGAAGTGATTTGCTATATAACAATATGTGGCCCCCCAGTGTGTTTATGAAATAAATCAGCTTTTCATTATATTTATAAAAGTGAAACAGTAACACAAGCTTGTGTACCTTGGTTTAGAGCTCATTATGCTAGCACTTTAGAATGTGCCTAACAAATGTTTTCTAAATGGTGTCTCTTTTTGTTCGCAAGATGATGACTGGGTTGGAGTGTGGACATAGGTTCTGCACACAGTGTTGGGGTGAATACCTTACTACAAAAATTATGGAGGAAGGTGTAGGGCAAACAATAGCATGTGCTGCTCATGGATGTGACATCTTGGTTGATGATGCAACTGTTATGCGTCTTGTCAGAGATTCCAAAGTGAAGCTCAAGTACCAGCACCTTATTACAAACAGCTTTGTTGAGGTGAGCAGTAGTTTATCTGTGTCTCGTATATGCCTTTTATGTCTCCAATATGAAGCCCTAGTAAGTCACCATTTACTCTAGAATAAGTGCTTTGACAGTTTATCTTTATGGTTTAGTTAATGAAGCGTTCAGCTTAATGTAAAGTGAATGGTACTCTGTGGACAGAATTTCCAGCTTTGATTTCTACATGTAAATGATGTTCTTTTTTGCAGTGCAATCGGTTGTTAAGGTGGTGCCCATCTCCAGACTGCAATAATGCAATTAAAGTGCAGTATGTGGAAGCACGGCCTGTGACTTGCAAGTGCACTCACACGTTCTGCTTTGCCTGTGGTGAAAACTGGCATGACCCAGTCAAATGTCATCTACTTAGGAAGTGGATTAAAAAGTGTGATGATGATTCTGAAACTTCCAACTGGATAGCAGCTAATACAAAGGTCTGTAAAATATAGTTGATGCCCTAATTCTGTTGCAGTAATTTACATGGAAGAATGAAAGGAAATTAATTTGTTTAAGATTCTGATTGTCTGCAAAATGTTGCAGCAAAGGAAAGAATCAATAATTGTCCCTGTTTATGAAATAAAAGTGACTGCAAGTAATACCAAGTAATCTCATTTTTGTTAAATTTGTATGAAATTTCTTCTTTTCTCTTAATATTCTTTGGACAGTTGTCACTATTTGTGAATGAAATTATTTTTGACTGTCAATGTACTTCATAATAATTGTGAAGTGTTGCTCAGATCTTTTGCATTTAACATATATTAAGAGAGAAAATGAGAATGTAATGGATCAGAACATCAGCTATGTATAAATTTCAAGAAAGCCTGTAAACTAATAGGTGAGAGTACTGTACCATGTTGGATTTGACGTTCTCGTGGCTGTGATTGTGAATGGTACTGTCTTCTGGGATGTATTACTATGTGGTTCGGTAGTTTCAGAGGAACATACTGCATTCATCTTCAAGGTTGAAGAGTAAGCAAGCAAGAGCATGCTGGAAGCAGACCTCTGCTTACCATGTGCTTCTGGCTGGTTTCTTACATGCTTCATTCCTTCATTCATTCATTATTGGAGGGGGTGGGTTTCCCCATGCACTGCGACCAGTTGTTGATCTATTGTACGTCCCCCTTTGATATTCTACCACTTGCCACACCCTTCTGGTACTGGTGCTCGCTATCAGCCCCATTCAGCCAGCGAGTTCGGCCCCTCTACTGGCAGTGGTACCCAATACTTTCCCATCTACCAGAGGCATTGGAAACTACTTGGGCGGGAAACTTTTTACCTAATTTTGCTCAGAGGTCTCCTAGAGACATGAGGATCTTTACGTGCTGTAAATCTGTGACACGGGACCCACAGCTTAAAGTCTCTCCCAGAGGACTTGTTCCCTGAATTTTTCCGCCCTTAAAAATTTCATGACCTCCGCCAGATTTTAACCCGCGTGCCTTGAGTCATGAGGTGGGAATGTTACCCCTAGATTACGGAGGCTGCTTTCTTACTTGCTTACACTTCGACCTGGAAGATGGAGGCAGTATGTTTCTCACTCACGTTTTTGAACATCTAAACTACACAAGGAGCCAAGATAATATAGTTACTATAGCTATTAGCTGCGGGCTGGACAACCGAGGGGTCAGAGTTTGAGTCCTGGTAATGTCAAGAATTTTCTCTTTTCCGTGTTATCCAGGCCAGCTCTGGAGTCCACCCAACCTCCTATCCTAAGGGTACTGGGGGCTTTTTCCCTGGAGATAAAGCGGCCAGAGCGTGAAGCTGACCACTCACCTCCAGCAAGTGCTGAGGTCAAGAAAATGTAGATCTATGCATCCACTCCCCCATATGTCTTCATGGTGTAGTGCTTAATTAGTTAAGCACAGAGACAACTTTACTTTTTTACCTACTAAACTACACAGTGTTACAACCCCCCAAAAATATACTGTTCATATTTTCAAAATGAGTATGCGTAAGGTTCCTAATATTTCATATAGGGAACCTCTGATTGTTGTTCTTTGGCTTTCATGGCTGATTTTGGTACGTACGAGTAGCTTTGTCTCTGGGGACTAGGCCATGTCAAATGTTATGGATTCTCCAGTATTAAGCTGACCTTGCTGTTGCTGTCCTCAGGATTAATGATGTGGAGTGTTTTGGCAGTTCTCATATAGTTCTTGCATTTATGCAGTGAGTAGGAGGTGAAGCCTTGATTGGTTGAAGAGAGCAGCAAGGTGCTAACCAACAGGGAGCTACCATGTGGTTAGTGAAACATGGTGATAAAGTATATTTCTGCTGACACATGGTTAATGAAAAGAGGTGATTAAAAAAGTTCTGGATCAAGTGATCCTGAGAAGAGGTGGGGGAAATGTTTTGGTGGTATGATGTTTATGATGTGGTGTTGAAATATTTTTTATTTTATTTTCCCTTTTCTTATTCTTTTTCTCCCCCTCACCTGGATAGGAAAGGGATAAAAGCGGTTCAGTGGTGGATTTTAGAGAGAAGAGGTGAGACCTCCTTTACTACATCTATATTGTGGTTAAAATTATGGAGGGTGATTTATTACTTCATGGGCTTCCCTGATGATGAGCGGATGGTACATTTGGATTTTGGCTATGACCTCTGTTCTGGGTGTTTTTGGCTACCAGCAATTGATGATTCTCCAGATTGGTGTCTTTAACGCCTTCCAAAATCCCGGTTAATATATTGTCACGTGTTTAGTGTATAACGTGACAAATAACTTCACACCTTATTGGATATAGCGAATTTATTGCACATTCACTCTTACAACCACACAGTTTACAGATTCACAACTACTGCTATCTACAGTATCACCAATACTAGACTGCATACTCTTCCCTGGCCAACTTGTAACTCATAACTTGAGAACTGTCTTCGGCGGCTGTGTAGTTCCCTTATAAAGCCTCAGTTGGACAACGGGGAAATGGTTACGTAATAGGCACCACTGTTGTCTGGCGCCATGTTTACAGGTGTTACTGGCAACACTGTCAGGAGTTGTTTATGGCTGCATAGCAACCGCAGCATCCCTTGACCACGTCACTGCTGGCGGGGTAGGGGAAGGAGTGTTGACTTGCCTATTACCCTAGTACCGACAGCACTCCAATGGTGTTATGTCACCGCTGGCGGGGGGGGGTGTCTGCATAGCGCAACACGTCACAATATATTGGCCTATTTTTCTGATGTATACCTTGCCACATGAGGTGGGGATCTTGTGGGCTCCAGATTTTTGGGTTGGGGGTTGTCTCCTTGGTAAATCTGAAGTGGGATGTCATTTCATTTAATTGTTTCTGGATTGCATGAATGCCATTTTTCTTCAGTAGTCTGGAGATGCTGCTAGTGATGAACACTCATTGTTTTTACACTAGTGCTTTCTTGACTTCATGTCACATTTTGTCTGCGATGGATAGCAAAATCAAGGAACATGTATGCATCAAGTTTAGCATGAAGCTCGGTAAATCCCCTACCAAAACTCCTGAAATGCTTCGCATGGCTTTTGGAGAACATCTTTTAAACTGGACTGCGGTTTTTGAATGGCATTCACTTTTCAAGGCCTTCAAGTGTCATTTGAAGATGACAAATGTTCAGGGCGACCAGACACCAGCAGAAAGACAGAAAATGTTGAAAAAATACGAAAACTCATTGACGAAGACCGTCACCGAACAATCCATGAGCTTGCAGACACCGTTGGATCAGTTATGGGATTTGTCAGGAGATCTTAAAAGAAAATTTGAACATGTGCTGCATTGCCACAAAGTTTGTTCCCCAACTCTTGACAAAAGATCAAAAGCAGCAGCGTGTTAACTGTGTCTTGAACTATGAGAGATCACTGTATATGTGCCAAAGGAGATGACAGCAGAAATGGAGTAAATGAAGCCAGCATTTCTTTTTTGACCTAGTCCAGGAACATTCCAATAGCATCTCATAGTAAAGCCCATATAGGTAAATATTTGTCTTATACCTTTCCTGTCCAGGATAGTTTAAAACAAGCCACTTTATTGCCATTGATTTTCAGCTTGGTTGTAGAATGTGCCATTATGAAGGTCCAGGAAGATCAGGTGGGTATGAAATTAAATGGGACACATCAGCTGCTGGTCTGTGCTGATGATGTGAATCTGCTGGGTGATAACATAGACACCATAAAGAAAAACACACAGACTTTAATTGACGCTAGTAAGGATGTTGGTCTAAAAGTAATCACAGAAAACTAAGTATATGTTGCTGTCTCATCACCAGAATGCAGGACAAAATCATGACATAAAGATAGATAACAGATATTTTGAAAATGTGACACAGTTCAGATATTTTGGAACGACTATAACAAATCAAAACCTGATTCAGGAGTAAATTTAGAGAAGGCTGAATTTAGGTAATGCTTGCTACCATTCCATCCAGAACCTTTTGTCTTCTCATCTGCTGTCTAAAAACATAAAAATTATAATATCCAAACTATAATTTTTCCTGTGTCTCTGACATCAAGGGAGGAACATAGATTGTTTGAGAGCAACGTGTTGACAATATTTGTATCAAAGAGAGATGAAGTGAAGAGAGGTTGGAAAAGACTGCATAATGAGGAGCTTCATAACTTCTGCTCTTTACCATGTATAATTAGAATGATCAAGTTGAGGATGAGATGGGCAGGACATGTAGGATGAATGTGGGAGAAGAGGAATGCATATAGATATTGGTAGGAAAGCCAGAAGGAAAGAGATGACTAGGAGGACCAAGACTTAGGTGGGTGGGTAATACTAAAATGGATCTTAGATAGGTTGGCTGGCCACGCCATAGCTCAAGCGGTTAGTTGTTGGTTTCCCACCATTGTGGTCTGGGTTCAATCCTGGGTCTGATCAAGTGGGATTTGTGGTGGACAAAGTGGCGCTGAGGTGGGTTTTCTCCGAGTACTTTGGTTTCACCTCCAATCATCATTCCACAAAATTCTCCATCATCATAATCGCCCGGGGCAGGCTACAACAGGCCAGTCAGTGGCCGCCGTGGCAAGTGGACCCAGTTGGACTCCACCCCCACTAAGCGAATTAAAAAAAAAGGATAGGTTGCCTGGTATATACTGGCAAAGATCATGGGTTTGGGCCAGAAACATCTGCACCTGAGAGAGAAGATTATTATGATTTGATTGTGGCCTTATGCAGTGTGAAAATGAAAAGATATTTTTTGTAAGGACAATTTTCCAACAGACCTGAAGACAAGAAGTCTCACGCAGACATAAATTAGCAGGCTGCAGGAAAAGTGATTCTGAGAATTGCAGAAGGGTTTGTCCAACTAACGGTTTGTAAAGTTCATGAAGGACAAACTATTGTATTTCAGAAGGTTAACGCACTAAAATCCGCACAGCTTCACCACCCCAAGTATTTCCAAGAATCCCTTTTGGAGGCGCAGTAAGAATACAAGGAGGGTGGCAACTGACAGACAAGTGCAAGTGATTTCTACCTTCAAAACTAGCTTGCAACCCCAAGCCATTGTCTAATGGGCTGCTAGCAAACTTTCACTTTTATGACCATTGAGACGAGATACACTTTCCTACTAGTCCGGTAGTTTCTTGTACATTGTCATTCAGTTCATTTTCACACAGCGACAGGTGCTGATGTTACATTGTGATGAATGTATAAAGGTTATAATTAAACATTAAATTATTAAGAAAGCAGTCTTCTGGGATTTGGCACCGTGTATATGTGGTGTTAACCGACGTTTCGGAGGAACGTATCGCCCCCATCTTCAGGGTTGAAGAAAAAGTATAAGTAAATCTGCAAGCGACAACACCGTGAGACACGGTAAATTATTAATTACGAGTATCAAAATCTAACATATATTTCTATTTTGAAGTGTGGCCCTGGAGTATTATTTACAGGGCTTAGGTGGCCCTCTGTACAAGATGAGTTTGACATACCTGCTTTAGATGTAAGTATGGGAAATTGGTGGTGTACTAAATTGTGATTTGGACTTAACTATTTGGGTAATTGCCACCATACACAGCATTGAATCTCATATAACACAAAGAAACTAAACTAGTTTATGAGCTGTAAAGGTACTAAAAATTGGTAAGATTGTCCCTGTGCTTAAGAAATTAATCACTATCCCATGAAGGTATATGGAGGAGTGGATGTATAGATCCACATTTTCTTGACCTCGACACTAGCTGGAGGTGAGTGGTCAGCTTCACTCCCCAGCCACTTTACCCCCGGGGTAAGAGCACCCATACCCATTGGAGAGGTGGTTGGGTGCACCCCAGAGCAGGTTTTGATGACTTGGAAAAAATAAAATTCTTGACCCTACTGGAACTCAAACTCAGACCCCTCAGTCATATAGCCTGTGGCCAGTTGCCATACCGACTATGCTATCCCGGGCTTCCACTAAAAATTGGTAGGACAGTTTATTTTATACTAACCTCTATTTTGGTTACAGTCTTCTGTGCATAATATCCATTAAAAATTATAATTACTGAATTTTCAGGAATGTCCAAAATGTAATGTGACCATTGAAAAAGATGGTGGCTGCAATCATATGGTGTGCAAAAATCAGAATTGTAAGGCCGACTTTTGTTGGGTTTGTCTTGGTCCGTGGGAACCACACGGCTCATCTTGGTAAGTATATGTGCATTAACATTTATCTTAGTTTTAAAACTTGATCACAAATCGCACATTCACTCACATGAAAGCTACCAGCTGCATAACTGTGCTCTAACACTTTACAGTGTTCTTTTAACTTTTATCGTCTGGGAATAGGGGATTAAAATCTCTTGCTACTGCAGTGTTGCCACGGGGTATTACATGAGTGGCAGTGGGATTTATGGGTATATTGCAAACATTGGGATCCTACACCAGCCATGGTATGCTAGACCTGTGCATGTGCCATCAGTAGTACAATGTATGACCATTAAGGTTAACCTTTAGAGGACACTAATATAAAAGTATTTATGTTCAGTTCTGTATGCCTCTTTGCAGAGGCCATGTCTGCAAATAAATTTATTCTTATAAAGGGTAAACCTGCTGTTATATAGCCTAATGTGGGACCCTCATTGTCTGCAGCATCATAAGAGAACAGAAGTTTTGTATATAATTGGAGAGTAACATGTTTTGTTCTTAATCCTTACTGCTGTATTGAACGATGTTTGCTCATATGTGAGATATAGATGACATACGGATTAAAGGTTACAGGATAAGGAGCAGTACTGCTGAAAATAATGGTTATGAGGTAGAGAAGAGAAAGGCCACGCCATAGCTCAAGCGGTTAGTCGCTGGCTTCCCACTACGGCAGCCCGGGTTTAATCCCAGGTCTGGTCAAGTGGGATTTATGGTGGACAAAGTGGCACTGGGGCGGGTTTTCTCCAAGTACTTCGGTTTCCTCTGCCAACCTTCATTCCACCAAATTCTCCATCATCATAATCACCCAGGGCAGGCTACAATAGGCCACTCAGTGGCCGCCGTGCCAAGTGGACCCGGTTGGACTCCACCCCCCCACTAAGCAAATTTAAAAAAAGATAGTGAAGAGAATGCAGCAAGGTCAAGGAACCTGCTAGATTAAAGACCCAATTCTTCATCGTTGTTCAGAATTTCAAATTTGTGGCTCTGTGGGTGTCACAGTTTCAAAAGTATTAAATTTTTCATTCGGGCAAACTCTGTTTCTAGTACTCTTGTAATGTGCAGTTTCCATGGAATACTAATTGTAACAAAATTCTGCAGATTTTCCTCCAAATGTTGAAAATGGGAATATAAGCTTTTAGTAAGATAGACAGCTGTTTCATTTTATGTTTCAGCATTGAAATGAAAGTAAATCAATAAAATTAAAACAAAATATCTTTGATTTCTGTTTTGAATAATGAAGTTTCTGTCTCTAACCATACTTTATGGTGACTGGCTATGGGGTGGATGACTGAGGAGTTGGGAGTTTGAGTCCCAGTAGGGTGAAGAATTTGCCTTTCTCCATATCATCCAAACTGGCTTTGGGCCCACGCAGCCTCCTATCCAAAGGGTACCGGGAGTTCCTTGCTGGGGGTAAAGCGGTTGGGGCATGAAACTGACCACTCACCTCCAACTAGTGCCGAGGTCAAGAAAACGTGGATCTGTACATCCATTCCCCCATATATCTTCATGGCATATTGCTTAATTAGTTACGCACAGGGACAAGTTTACCTTTTATTGAAATATAAGAAGTCAGTGTAGTTTCATGAATGTAAGTAAAAAATAAAAAATAAATCTATCGCTGTACCAGGCTGTGAAGGCCCATAGGGTTGTGAGACGTTGAGGGTCCCACGTTATCTAGGCAATCGGCTCAAAGATGGCGGTTAGGTTGTCAGCCCTACATGCCGGCCGCACTTTACTCCCCAGGAAAATTCCTGGTACTCATTTCTGTTAGAGGCTGAGTGAACCCCAAGGCCATAGTGTGGCCGGAAGGATTAGGTATTATCCTATTTACATAAATTCATGCCTGTGTGTACCTGTGCACATACACTCGCACATTTACATATACTGTATACAAGCATCGTGACAGTTGAACTGCCTAAATTGTTGTAAATATAATCAACTTGAATATTTTGTTTCTTTCTTTCTAGAACATTTGTAATTCTGCATCTCCTGTATTTCAGAATTTTTAACTTTTTCTTATTGTGTTTCATAACATTCTACAATTAACATTAACGGATTTTCCTTTCTTTCTTAGACCATCTCTCACTATCTTGTAACTCTGAAATAACACCAGTAATACTTCAGCCATTATTTTCTGTTACATTACAGTATTGCCATTCTAGCATAATTTTCCTTTCTTAAGAAAAGAAAGGTTTAGATCACCATGCAGTTTGTGCGTCTCCATTTTGAAATCTTGAACGAATTGGTCAGTTTTTAAGAAACTTGGTATGAACATTATGTCATTGGAGGTCACCAAAGTAGCCATACTTTCTAACATCCTACAATGGGTGGCAACGACACTGCAGGCATATGAGCTTGGGAGGTGGGAGCACCACTAGTTCATGTAGTTGAGGGTCCTAAGATGATGTATGATAATAGATGTTGGAAAAACATGCAGCCTTTGTTAAGGGATTTTTTCTTTTTTGTGAAATGTAAATGTTTACATGAAAAATATATAGAAATATACAGAAATTTTCTTTAGCTTTTGACTTATCTAATGAACTATAGGGGCTAAACAAACAAACTCCATGATTTTTGTCCGCAAGCGAACTATACCAACCGAGCGACAGCTGCGTGTCGGCGAAGTTTAGTGCCAACTTTTGCGGATAGAGGGTGTCGCATGGTCAGCGCAACAAATCTCCACAGCCGTTTCTAGACCTGAGCTGATATTTCCTTGAAATAGCTCCTCAATTATCCTCATGAGGCTGAGTGCACCCCGTGCCAGAGCCACTACTTCTCAGAAAAAATCTGGTAGCGCCGGTAATCAAACCCTGACCTCCGGATCTGTAGCCAGGAAGGCTGACTACTAGACCACAGAGGCAGTCCAAGAACAGAATATTGCTAAGCATGTGAAATTTGATGTGGAGATTGTAACGCCGGGTCTACGTTACGTCAGAGGGCGTCCCCCCACCCCCTTTCTTACTACTTACCCCTTCCAATGTTCCACTTCCTGGTTCCCGTCAGCTGAGGTCCAACGCGAGTGATCCATTCTGTTGTGGGACCCTGAACTGTGCAGTCAATTCACCTTTTCTGGTCGGTACAATTGTGATTGTCGGAGGCTTATTACCTGCAGGTACTTAGGTTGTATTTGTATTTGTTATTTAATATATTGTAACGTGTTTCGTTACTGAAGACGTCGTAGAGATTGTTAACTGATTTATTTAACAATCTACAAATAACGGCTACAATTAATTATCACAATGTTACGGGTTTCCACACTTTACAAACCCTACAACAAAATCTTCTCGTACTAATAACGCGGGAGCTATGCAAATCTCCCTGAATTACACACTCCAGATATAACTGTACTACAGCACTCACTAAGTCTCGAAAGCACACAATAAGTCTTCCGCTCGATGACTTCTTAGTTATTGCACACCCGCGGGCTGCTACCTTGAGAACTGTTGATAACACACTCGGCGACTGTCGCATTACAACTGACTGGTAGCTGCTGTGCAGTTCCCTTATATAGCCGCAGTGGTGCCTGTTGCATGCCACGTCACAGTAGGAATTTGATTATGGGTACGTAGCGTTGCACGTTACGTCACCGCGGGGAGAGTGGCGGGGTTATGACTCACCTATTACGCGAACGCTATGTTACCGCTATGTGTCGCTGGGGAGGTAGGGGTCAACATGTCACAATATATATACATATTCATTTGATATATTTGTGATAGTCTCTTTAATTTGGTACGTCCTGCCCAAAAACCAAATTTCGGTCTTCAAGACCTTTTAACGTTTCAAGATGAATCATAAATATACCTCTACATTGAAGGGTATGGTCTTCTGGGTTGCAACACAGATTAGTTCAGAGTGAACGAACATTTTTGGAGGAACGTATTGCCTCCATCTCCAGGGTTAAAGAGTAAGCCGAGCGTGAAACCAGTAGAAGTAGGCAACAAGCTAAGCCCTCTTTGAACTACATTCTCTTACAGCCCATTCACTGCCATATAACAGTATCTGTACATTACACGTGAAATATTATTTGTAAGTCAGGGATTGCATGATTGATGCACTTTTAATTTATTATACAAAGGTAAGTGTGAATACAGTTCTAACTCATAACATTTGAATGACAAAATCTGAAAGTTTTTTGAACCCTAAAGATGTTCCATTCATGATCCATCAAATGTCTAGTCTGTAATCCAGCCCATCCCATACTGTCTAACATTTTGTGCCAGTTGTCAGTTGTCTTGATAGCTATGGTAATTCTCAACTTCATTTCATCAATATGCAGTGGTAGAGGTGACACAAATAGTGTTTCCTTTACACAAACCCCCATAAAGAAGTCTCATAGAATGATATTGGGAGAGTGATGGGGCAAGGTCTGGCAAAAGTTTTCCATTCAGGACAATCCTCAGGTTCCAGTTTGTAAATCATGGTAAATTTGTAAGGTTTCGTGCAAATCCGTGTGTGTAGAACTAGCCACAGGGTCGTTTTTGGCATCTGTAACCCACGGCTTCTCTTCCACACACGTTTCCTTGGACTTCGATCGAAAGTGCTTCCACCTGCCGTATAGCCTCTTCACTCACATAAGGATGGCCACTGCTTTCCTTCTTACAAATGCATCCCTGGTTTTCGGAGTTGTCAGACCACCTCTGTATTGATGCTTGAGGCGGATCAATATGCAACCGTTTTCTGAAGGCCTGCTGAACGCTGGTCCATGAATTTTATTTCGCATACTCTATCACACAAAAGCTCTTCCCTGTGGGAGATGTCATTTCTGAAAATTATAGAGCCTGGCGGTAAAGATTGATAATATGGAGATACACTGCCAATTTTGAAATCTCTGAGAATTTTGACTTTCTGCTGATGACAGGTATACTTTGTAGTTTCCTTTTATTTTATCCACGAAAGTGTATCAGTCATTTACAGACACCCTATACAAATAATAGAATTGTATCCCTATTTTCTTCCTCTTAAAATGGCAGTTGCTGTACTTTGCAATGTAATCACGTGGATCAGTAGAAGTTTTCAGATGAAGTTGTTCAAAGTTACAGAACTGTTATAATATTGTAACATGTTTTGTTACTAAAACTTGTTGGTAATGTGTGTAAGTCCAATCCCACTGCTGACACCAGTGTAACGTGTTTCGTTACTGAAGATGCTGTTCGGATTCTTAACTGGTTTATTTAACAACCTACAAGTATCAGCTACAATTAATTACAACAATGTTATGGGTCTACACACGTTAGAACCCTACACACAAATCTGTCCACTCTATCACGATTCACTCGTTACAACTAAACTTGGTGACTACCACAATTCAATTCATAACTCTCCGCTGTCTAGATTCCAACTCAACTCGTAGACAGCTGCCTTGAGAACTGTCTTCGATGGCTATGTAGTTCCCTTATAAACCCTCAGCCGGACTACGGGAAAACAGTTACATAATAGGCACCACTGTTGTCTGACGCCGTGTTTGCCTGTTACATAATGGGTACCGCTGTTATTACCGTCGTCTCTCGCAACCACTGTTTACCCACTTTGCTTAGCAACCGCTGTTTACTCACTTTGCTTAACAACCGGTGTTTACTCGCTTTGCATAAACATTTAACAATATTTGGAGGTGGAGGTGGGCAGGTCATGTAGCACGAATGGGGGAGACGAATGCGTATAGGATATTGGTGGGAAAGCCAGAAGAAAAGAGACCACAAGGAAGACCAGGGCGTAGGTGGGTGGACAATATTAGAATGGATCTTAGAGAGATGGGATGGGATGGTATGGATTGGATAGATCTGGCTCAGGATAAGGACCAGTGGAGGGCTCTTGTGAACACGGTGATGAACCTTCGGGTTCCATAAAATGCTGGGAAATTCTTGAGTAGCTGCAGAATTGGCGGCTCCTCCAGAAGGGCTCAGCTCCGTGAATAAGTAAGTAAGTAACAATATTTGGAGCAGTTATTATTCCTACCATCCATAACCTCCTATGCCCTTAAGACCATTTCTTTCTCCATTTTGATTTCACTGCAACCCCGCTACACTTACCATGTCTCTCTTCTTTTCTCTTGTCACTGAACTGAGCTGAACTGATAATTGATGTACTCTACACCTCATTAACTGAATCATTAACAGACTGTACTAACTGAACACTGACTAACTGCAGTCTCTGAACCTCCTTGAACTCTGGTGGATTTGTAGGAAATTGTATGAGTACAGCTACTTTTTATAGACATGTCACCTTTTGAAGGACAGATGACAACCCCTCTCCCCATTACATGCAGTGTGATAGACAAGTTCTGAATGGATGTGGAATACAGTATACAGGAGAACCTCGCTTAACGAGCACCTCTCATACCGAGTAATTCGCATAATGAGCAAAACAAATTGTAAAAAAAATGACTCGCTTAACGAGCAATGTTTTGCATAATGAGTGACGAGAGGGGAAGGCCCGGACTGTGTGCTTGCTACATCAGTCTGTGTTTAGCACTCGTTCCGCTAGCATCTTAGTGTCGCTTGTGATCACACATTTTTCCAAACTTGTGTTCAGACATATTATTTGTGATTTTTTCTGTGCAAAGTTTAATAACCCTTGCAAAAATGTCCCTGAAGAAAAAGCCACAAAAAGACAGCCATAAGAGAATAAAAATAACGTAGAAATGAAACGTAAAATCATTGAAAAGCGAGAACGAGGTGTGAGCATGGCTGATCTAGCACGCACATACAATCGGTCTACATCAACGATTTGCACGATTTGGAGTTGCATTGTGTTTCACAGCAAGAAGTTGTGGAGGAGAGTTTGTCAGAAGAGGAGGAGGAGGAGGAGGTAACAGCAAAGCAACAATCTTCTGGCGCAATAAGAGAAATGCTGTAAGCATGGGAAGCTTTTGCATCATACATTGAAAAGCATCACCCTAATAAGGCAGTGGCTATGTGCACTACAAATTTATTTAATGATAATGCTGTGTCGCATTTTCACCAAATTTTGAAACATCGGCAAAAACAAATGTCTCTAGACAGCTTTCTAGTAAAAAAGAATTAGATGTGTATCATAAATAATAAACTAATTATTTCGATTTTTTTTTTCTGCAAATCGAATTCGCATTCCAGGTTGGTTCATTCCGCACAGAAGAAAAGATGAAGATGATTCATGCTCCTTAACAATGTATATATAATTTTCTTTGAATAAACGTTATGCATAAAATTTTTTGAGTATTTTTTTGGCATGGAACGCATTATTGTATTTTACACTAATTTATATGGAAAAAAATGTTTCGCTTAATGAGTGTTTCGCATTATGAGTAAGACTCTGGAACGAATTATGCTTGTTAAGCGAGGTTCCACTGTATTTTCTGTTTTATTTCATTGTCTGTGTGGGAATGAAATTAGCTATATTATTCTTCAGCCTCTTTTCTTAATTATAGATTTGTTGCTCTAATGACTCATTATTGAATCTTCTGTAAATATTTGATATAGGTACAACTGTAATCGGTATGATGAGGAGGAAGCCAAGGCAGCCAGGGATGCACAGGAAAGATCACGAGCTGCACTTCAACGATATTTGTTCTACTGTAATCGGTATATGAATCACATGCAGTCACTCAAGTTTGAGCACAAACTATATGCTTCTGTTAAGGAGAAGATGGAAGAAATGCAGCAACATAATATGTCGTGGATTGAGGTAATTTTCATTTTTTACTATATATACTATAGTGCTTCAAGTTTGAGGATGCTTAGCTTTCAGCAGCAGGGTTAATAGAGTAAACCAGCCACGGAGTGCTTCAGAGCTATATTCATGGCTAAATCCCCCATCCCACAGGATTGGAACCACTGGCTTAGGCCATATCCTTCAAACTTAAATAGCCAAAAATTTGAAATCTTCTAACATCTTCAGTTCAGTGTAGGTCTTGCTAATTCTAGTTAATGCATACTATATCATTTCTGTATTTGTACCTTCCATGACACAGAAATGTGTCTGTTATTTTATTAGCAAAGTTTTAGGATTTTTATAGGCTCCTATACAGCCTGGTATCATTTTATTGGTATTAACATATGGCTGGTAAAAAAAATGAGATTTTAGTGTCTGGTATTGTGTGGCATACCCCTCACGCACTCTCCTTGGCCAGGATTAATAGGAAGATGGATGAATCTCTGAGAGGAGTGGCCTGCACTGTGCCACTGATTGAATAGATTAAAGTACTGATATACGTATTGTCACGTGTATTAGTGACTAAAGGCAGGGTTTGTATTGGTAAATCATTTTATTGGATATTCACCAGTCATAACTACAGTTAGTTCTTACACTCTTAAGATTACCGTAACTATAACACACAAACTATGAACAGTCATCACACTTGAAATATTACTGTAACTATAACATTCAAAGCAAAGTCTTCAGCATCTGCTTGCTTGGTAACACAAATCTTGAAGAATTTGTAGTCTCTATAATTGCTTGTTCCACTCACACTTACCTTACACTTCACGCTTACTCGAACACTCTCTCTCTCTCAAAAGCACACCAATTCACTTCTTCCAAACTCTGAGTGTGAGTCACACTTACTCTCTTGTCTGGCAAACTCTTTGTGCTTTGAAGAAAGCAGTCTTCTGGGATTTGGCACCGTGTATATGTGGTGTTAACCGACGTTTCGGAGGAACGTATTGCCTCCATCTTCAGGGTAGAAGAAAAAATATAAGAAATCTGCAAGCGAAGACCGTGAGAACCGGTAAAAGCAGACTTTGTGCTTTATTATCTTTGTCCGACTGTGTACTGAACGCCTAATTTAAGGGTTCAGTTTCTTGTATCTGTTGTAACTGTTTATGTACATGTTGTCTGGGAAATGTGTATGTGCCATTGCCTTGCAAAATAGGTACTTCCATGTCTGGCCCCACTATTCCGGCTTTTAGGAGGTGTGTACCTAGCCGTTGCCTGGCAATGGACGCCTGGCTTCAACTCCACTGTTGCTGCTTTTAGGCATCATGTCACAGTATATTAAAATAAATACCACATGTACCATAAAAGAAACTGCTACGCTCAGAATAGATCAGTAAATGAACTTAAAATAAACTGTGTTATCCAAATCAAACAACTAACTTCACGGTTTATCAAAATTAAAAATTACCAAGTAACACATTTAGGTATCATATTACCTAAATGTTACCACAAGATAGCACACCTAAAAATCATTTTAATTGGAATCTGAGCTAGAACAAGAACCTTAAGAAAAAATGTACTCATGCGTTCTGTAGCTTCAGATTAATGAACACAGGAATGATCTTGGTACAAAGCAAAGTGGAGTTTGATAACCACATTCCCCACAAGAAAATCACCCAGAGTCATCAAACAGTGGGAATTCATACCTTTCTGGAAGAGTAAACAGTGATGCTAACCTCTAAGCAATGCCTAAAATCTAGAACTTTCCATTGGTCCTCGGTGTGTGTCCTAACATTTTGACCAAATATGGTTTGCATCTGGCTGTAGGGCTTAAATGATTAAAACTGCAGCCAGAGCTTTTAATTTATCCATGCTGCAGTCACTTTACATTACCTGCTCTCAGACCCCACACACATATGCCATCAGTGTGGAGCCATATTGGTGCTGGAAGATGTCATATCACACCTACAGAAGGGTTAACTTATATATCAAAGAAGAGATGGATCTCCTTTAAAAGCTAGCATAAGACTGGCCTTCTTTCAGTCTGACATGAATATATTCATTTTAACATGTGTTGGCTTATTTTATATATGAAACTTACACAGGCTCAAATATCCTTGATCCTTGGCTGCTGATGTGTCCCTAAACCCACACACTTCAGTTTCTGAATGTGCAGGGTTTTAATTTTTAAAATGCAACACTTTGGAACAATTGAAAATTTCATGATTGAAGTCATATCTTCAGTTGAAATATTTATGCTGCCAAACCATACTTATAAGTTGGTCAATTTTTTCATTCAAATTCTGCGACCCCATCTTTTAAAATTAAAATTTGAGGATGGATAACTTCACTTAACAGTCCTTTAGTTTCGCATTACAAAACTTGCTCCCCATTTTTAAAATATGAGTATATATTTTTATTTTCAGATATATTAGTATATTAGGCTTACAGAATATTTTTAACAATAAATGTTAGGCTGATACTTTGGTTTTCATATGTACCTGAAGGGACAGTTAGGTGAATTTCCATTAATGTTAGTAGAAACATTCACACTCTTTCTGTTTCAAAATATGTAAAGGTGAAAGACAAAATGACAACATTAATACTGTCACGTGTTTAGCAACTGAAACTTGTTGGTAACGTGTGTAAGTCCAATCCCACTTCTGACACCAAATTGTCACGTGTTGGGTGTATAACGCGACAGATAACTTCACGCCTTACTGGATATAGTGAATTTTATTCCACACTCGCTCATACACTCACACAGTTTACAATGTGACAACTACTGCTATCTGCAGTATTACAATTACTTGACTGAATACTCTTCCCTGGCCAACTTGTAATTAACTCTTGAATAGTCTTCACTGCTCCGTATTTAGCCCCGTTACGGACAACACAGAAAACAGCTACGTAATAGGCACCACTGTTGTCTGATGCCATGTTTGCCGACAGCCTAGCAACACTGTCGGGAGTTGTTTACTGCTGAGTAGCAATGGTGGCATCCCATGTTACGTCACCGCTGGGGAGGGAAGGGGTGTCCTCCATAGTGCAACATGTCACACTGCTCCCTCCTTAAGGCTGTTTGTCCCAAATAGCCTAACGGTATATGATATATGAGACAAACTCTGTCTTAAGTGCAACAATTTAATTGTAGTTCTTTCTTCTTTCCTTCCTCTACACTACATGTTTCAGCCCTAAATGGCCATCGTCAGGTGTATATTCTTACGTAGCTGCTACACTGCCCATAGTTTAAAATTTAAAACACCAGTCTTTCCAGACGTGTGTTAACCTACACACGTCAATTTGATTTCCAAAATTGGTGCCTAACGGTGCACCCCCATTCCTCTTCTTCAAAGGATGGCTTTCTGTGTCTCATGTTATTTCAGCTACTCCTTGCAGCGACTATTCTTCTTCCATTACAACCGCTCCCCTCTTAAGACCAGCTCATCTCGAGCGGTTTCCTGGTAAGTTGCCAGAAGATCCAGTTTTGTCACACTCATTCATTGCACATTCACTCTTTCTCGGGAGGCCGGTTCTTCTACATTACTGGTTCCTCCTCTACTTGAGGTCCCTTTCCGTTTTGGAGGGGGTCGTCTCCTCCACAAGGTCCAATCCTTGCCTTGTCGTAGGCCGACAGAAGATCCATCTATTCTCTTCACGATCTTCTCCCCGAAAATCTTGTAGTAGGTCTTTTTATGATTTCTCCCTCCAGAGTGAGATCACTGTCCTGATATACACCCTCCAATGGCGTTCTCGGTTGGGTCCTTCAATAGGTTGCTGACTCGTCGCTGTTTCAGTCCTTTGTGCCTTATGCCAGTGTTGCATTCAGGATACTTTACGAAAGATCTCTTGCGCCGTGTTACACCTTCACGGCTAGTCATATACCTGTCGGCAGCGAATTCCTGAGGATGTTCCTCTTGCGCCATGTTGCTGTTGCATGGCGGGACACCTTCCTGCAGGGGGCAGCCAACTTCATTCGGGGTCCACAGTTTTCCCATGTTGAATTCTTCATATTCTGCTTCTTTCGGTCCCTACGCCTTTCCAACTTTGGTTCTCCGACCAGCATTACTTTGGCATCTTCTACGGGTACCTCTCGTTTGTCGGCCGCCTCGGGTTTCATGTCCACTGAGGCTGGCTCTTTTTCTTCTGGACATGCCTCCTTCTCTTGGCAGGCCAACGTCTCATTGTGGTTGGCATTCACCCTATTGTCTCTCATGGTGGCCATCTCTTCTCGCTATGCTTGTCTGTCAGCCTCCCATATTGCCAGGAAGTCTTCATTGTCTTTCTTTCTCTTGGCCTCCATTTCTTCCAGTATTAGGAACAATTTTTCCATATCTTGTTTCTCCGTTTTGTAGCAGTATAATTTGTTGAGGTGTGTTCAAGTTTGTAAACCAATTCTGACACCAAATAGTCACATGTTTAGCGACTGAAACTTGTTGGTAACGTGTGTAAGTCCAATCCCACTTCTGACACCAAATTGTCACGTGTTGGGTTCGAAACTTGGTAATGTGTGTAAGTCCAATCCCACTTCTGACATCAAATTGTCACGTGTTATTACTACCTTGGACTTGAGTTGTACCCATATTGTATTTGTCATTAGTTGGCCACAGGCCTAAAAATGATTCTTCTGAAGTGCTCCTTTTATCATAAATTTAGTTATGGCATTTGTATGATAGAAAGTATTTCAGTCCTCATCACCAGGACGAGTAAGTTTTGTTGTATTTTCAATTAAAGGCCCCCCCCCCCCAGCTGTTGTCTGTTTAAATGCCTTACTTTTACAGCCGGGTTTTTGAAGATATTTTCTCAAGGTGGCATGTTTTTTTTTTCTTTTTGCTGTGTGTGTATTTTAAACTTTGGTCCTGGTATAGTTAGATAATCCGTTGAAACACCATCATGACATGTTGAAACAATTAGAGATTTTCTTTTATGAAGTTCATGCATAATTTCCTATAGAAACTTAATGAGATAGGTAGTCCGATTTTGGGGGTATAAATCGATCCACCTCTGCTATAGTGGACTAGCATTGTAAC